CTCCGATGGCTCCGTAGTCACCAGTCCAGTCACTGGCACTGCCGCTGCGCCTGTGCTGGCGCTGCGCCTGGGCTGTGGACCCTGCTCCTGTCCACCTTTTCCCAGGGCCGCGCTGCGACGCCTCGAGGTGTGTGGTCCCTGCTCCTGACCACCTTTCCCTCGAGGCGCCGCGCTGCTGCTTCCAGTTCTGCGTCATGGCGTGCTGCTGGTGGCGCTGGGGCTGCTGCGCGCTGTGGTGCTGCTCCAGCCTGCTGGCAGCAGCCGCCAGTCTGATCAGCAGCCTATCTTGTCCTCTTTGGGTCCTGGCGCGGCGGTGCCAGGCTTCTTCCTTAGTCCTGGGCGTGGCGGTCGGGGTGACCGCCGCGGCTGCGGCGCCTCTTTATCTTCTCTTTGATGGCTCCGCGGCGCGCGAGCCACGACCGAAGGGGCGACCGACGACGAGCGAAGCCGCGACGGTCCCAGCCCCTCCTCGGCCGCATGGCTTCCTCCTCCTCCTCCTGCGACACAGATTGACAAAACAACGGGGGGTCAGTGAACCTGCCCCCTACCGCTGTGCACAGCTCGGGGTCAGCAGACCTCCGAGCTCTCTGGAAACAGGGGCCCAAGCTGAACCAATATCCAGCGGCCCCGAAACAGTAGCTTCCCCTGGGCCAGGCCTCTGAGCACCCTCTTACCCCAGGCCGAGGGGTGCCCACAGACCTGGCCCAGCTTGACAACCTGCGTGGAGTAGACGGCCCCACACCTAACACAGACAACTCCGCCAGAGAAATCGCCACGCTCCTCGCTAACCCACCTTCGCAGAGCGTGTCCCCCAGCGAGCACGACACGACGGGGGGGAGCGCTCGGAGGTGGGGCGAGGGCGGCGGTGGCGGCGGCGGCGGCGGCGGCCAGCTCGCTGGCCTGGCGCCGCGCGGCGCGGGCCGCCTTCATCTGGGACGCCGTGAGGCGCTCGGTGTCGGCGGCCGCGAGGGGAGCGGCCCTGCCTACCTGCTCTCCCACCGCACACACGAGCCTCGAAAACTTCCGACACCGATCACGACGCTCGAAATCTAGGCGCCCCAGAGCCGCTACCTTCTTCGCCCAAAGATCAGCAAAACCGTTGCCCGCGATGAGACGCGGGTCAATAGAACGACGCTGCTCTGGGGTGGGGTGGGCCCTAACCTTGACAAACCTGACGGAATCGGGGCCCACCCCACCCCAGTCCTCCAGCTTTGACCAGAGGAGCTCCCGGACGTCAGCATGGGCCGCGAGCAAAGCACAGCATGCTTCACGCCCACGCTTAGCAATGCCTGAGAACACGAATTCACTGTCAGTGTGGATAGTGACTGGCGGCATAGCGACTCTGAGAAAGTTCAAAACGGCAACCAACTCAGCGCGATCGATGCACTGGATCGGGCCCTCGACTCCGCCTCCGTAGACGACTGACACACGAAACTCGTCGAGAGCCCTCGGAGGAGGCGGGTCTGGATGCATTGCAATGACAGCCCAACCTGCGACGGCAGCATTGGGCACATCATGATCAAACATGGAACCATCAACAAACAAATCTCCAGTGAGCAAGCTGCGCTCACCTAGGTAGAACTGCTCTGGCGCGGGCTCTGGCCGCTGCGGAAACCTGTCGAACGGGAGAAGCACACGGCTGCCAAGCAAATTCACGAGCTCTGTTGATTCCTGCGGCAGGACTCGACGGAGAGGGCCTGCGGGCTGCAAGCCAGCGGAGATTAACCCATCACAAAGCAGATGACGGTGATACAACGTGCCTGAAGAGCTGTGACAGATGCGGCAGAGCGGAGATTGGACATATTTGGCCTCGAACATGCGCTGCTGCGTTCACTGAGCACCGACGACGACTGACCGAAGATAGGCCTTTTCATCAGGCGACAGCGGTGAAGAACGCCCGAGCAGACTGAGGACTGGCTCGAACAGCGCACCTGACTTGATCTCGGGGCAGCCAAGCGTGGTGGAAATCTGCTTCCACTGCCAGGCCTCACAGGCCAGGTCGATGAGCTTCCTTAGCCCATGGACGCAAAATTTGGCCGGCTGTATAGTGAGGCCCCAGGGAAACGTCCAAGAACTAAACCCGTCGGCCAGAATACCCAACCGATCGAGCGTGGCTAGGTAGGCCGTGAAAGGCCCCGCAACAGACTGCCACGGACTGCCTTTACTGGACTGAGCTCGTCGCTGGGCCTGCCGAATTCCTTGAGTTATTATGTGCTGGGGAACCCACAGCTGCTTCCACGCGGCCAGCATGGCACAAAGCGGGTCGGCGGAAGCCTTGAAAATAGGGTCAACCCTACGACCGGGGGTGAGCATGAGGCGGAGCGTGAGGGAAGCGGAGCTAGTGGGGCCCTGGTTGCCTACCAATTGCCTAAGCCTCTGGAGCTCCTGCCCATTGGTTCCAGTGACGCTGGTGCCATAGGAAACGCTGGTTTCCACGGTGGCTTTGACCATGCGTGCGATGAGTCGGCGACGTTTGGCTTTTTGCAAAATCTTTAAGCGCCTTGAGCGGACGACGGCAGCAGCCAAGCGCTCTCGCTTAGTGGCACGACCCAACCTCCGCCCAGACCCGAAGTCAACCCCCAAGTTCCTTTCAGTGCGAGAGCGCTGCCCTCCCAGGCATTCAAGGCTGGCCTCTAAAGACGTCCTGAGTGGGGCTACACTGCTCATGAAACGCGTCTTATCTTTCGCCACCAACAGATCAACTTTTTTTTCAACTGACGGGCTAGCTCGCAACCTGCTGCAGTGAGATCTGCATGAACACGCTCCTGTTCACCGAAGCGCTGCAGACCTATGTCATCGACCACTGTAGAAAGTGAAACTGCACGGGCAACTTTGCGGACCTCATCTAGAGGCTGTAGCAAGACGAGCTGTAACATCATCGTTGCAAACACGCAGCCAGGCAGGACACTCTGTTCTGAAAAAATGGGCTCCGACACAAAGGTGCCCATATCTAAAATCCGCGGCTGACGATACAGCTTGATGAGGAGGTACAGTAATCTCATTGGGAACCCTGTGCGTTCTGCGGCGGCCACGAGATGGTGGCGCCGAGTGAGCTCAAAGGCCTTGTTGGGGTCAACCAAAACCGCCCCCGACGCCATGCCTTGGCCATGAGCCCACTCGGCCCACGCGGCCTGCACCCAGACGCACTTATCTGCGGCCTTGCCGCGGGTCCCCCAAGACAAACTTCTGAAATTTCTTCTTTGCCAATCCTGGATCTCGGACTTCCGTAAGCGACACAAGACCCTCGCGAGCACAGGCAGGAGAGCAATCGGTCGAAAACCGCCCAGACGTTTGGCCAAGAAGAAAACCTTGACCCACGCGGTGGGCCAGTCAAGCCTCAGCTCAATCAAATGCAAAAGCTCGCAAAGCGTGTCCAGGCCCTCGAGGCCCAAATGCAAGAAATGCCGCGGGTTAATGCAATCATAACCTTGGCCCGTGGTGGGCTTGTAGCTTTTGATGACTGCCAGCAGCTCAGGGACGGTCGGACGGGGGGGGGCTCGAGGAGGGAGAGGTCAGGCCAGGGAAGCGCAGGGTGGGGCTCTGAGACGCACCACCATGACTCCCATTCAGCCCTGAGCTGCTCAATTTGCTCGGCTGAGCCTAAGGGGACGTGATCGACTGTGGTGTCGTCGGGCGTCCAGCCAGTAGGCACCTTAGAAAAACTGAAAAGAGCTGACGCGCCCTGTTCAGTGCTGCGCTTGCTCACCCAATCCTCCCACCCACGCTGCTTGGCTCGCTGGCTGGCTCGGACAGCGACCTCAGCTTGCTGCTGCGCAAGCGCCCTTAAAACAAGCAGGTGGGGTGTGGAAAGAGGGAGGCTATGGAGGACGAGTCTGGCCACATTGACTGCTAGCTGGCACCGACGCGGCAAAGACCTGGCTCGGCAGTGGCGAGTGAGGCGGCGCCTGCGGGTCACTGCATCTCAGCCACCCTGCAAGTTGCCGTAGTCCAGCAACGCATGCGCCAATCCTCGCCACCAGGTAGCTTCGGCGTTGATCTGCGGAAAGGGTACCGAGCATGGCCTCGGAGGTTGAAGGGTCCTCAGCTGCGGTTCTCCTCCGCGTCCTCGATAGTACTCGGCTTGCTTCGGCTCGACATCGAAAACATTCAACCATTTAGCTTCCGCAGCCTCGATGAACGCAGCCCAGGCTGTCTCTACATCAGCATTGGCTTGCCGCATGTTGTCTGCCAGCTGCTCCCAGTCGGGCCCCTCAAACTGCCTGCAGCATCCGATGGGGGCTGTGACTGGAAACTTGCGCGGCTGCTGAACGACGCGAACTTCTGGGGCCCGACGTGGAACCTGAAGCTGAACCTGAACTGCACGATGCGGACTGATCGCGATGCGCTCTATGACTGTCAACTGAGCTCCTTCCGCCAAGAAAGGCGACATCACGAAGTAGTCGATGACTCGCTCCGACGGCCTGACTGTGCCCAGCTTGGGAGCCACCACGATGCCACCGACGCCTGCAACCCAGCCACTCTCCATGAGTTCTTCGGGCGTCACCTGCCAATCCGCACTGAGGATGAAGGGAAGCCCTGAGCTCTTGACTGCCTGACCCATGTCGCAGAGGATACGCCAGTTCCTTTCACTGAGATCCTCGGAGTCGTGCAGATACATGGTGCCCACCAGCGCTCCTCCTGTCGGACCATGGCTCAAGTGCAGCAACGAAGCTCTGGCTGGGCAAATGCAATGAGAAAGGCCCTCTAGTTGGCTGAGCCCATAGCGAGCGGGCGTGGCTACCATGGTGCCACCAGAGAGGCCCGCCAAACTGTCGGAACCACCATCGACGGCGCCAGCACGGACGGCGGGATTGATGGCTGCCTTCCAACCTGTCTTGCGCAACGCCTGCTCCTGTGCGTCACGCTGATGCTGCGGCACTTTGTGCTCCTGCACAAGCGCCAAGTCACAATCATACCATTCATCAGATTGCCTGAGCAACTCTAGCCCAAGCATGCTCGTCACATTCGCCGTGAGGACTGTCAAAGGGCGGCGCTGCGGGTTACCCCAATTGCGGCGGGACGTAGTAGGTGGAGCGCATCTTCTTGAGCGCCTGGCCGAACAGCTCGATGGCCCGCTGCTTGACAGCCCGCTTTGCGCCCTCGTCGAGGTCCATGTCATCGTCGTCGCCGACTGCACTGGCACAAGCTTCGAGCAGCTTCTGCTCGTTGCGGCTTGCCCATGCACGGGCACGCACATCATGGTCAGCACCACCCACAGGACCTGCACCAGGCGGCGCATGCTGCCCTGCACCCGCTGCCCCCGCTGCTGCGAGGCCGCATCCCGAAGGGAGGCCCGCGCTGGCGGCGCCAGGCTGGGCACCGCCAGATGGGGCGGTGCCAGCGGGCGCCGCAGGGGGGGGGTGCTGGGCCTGCGCGGCCTTCGCCTGCAGCTCCTGCTGTGCGTGTGCCAGCTGTGCCGCCACCTCCGTGAGCTTTGCCTCGAGCTCGGTGTCGCCGAGCAGCCTTGCCTGCTGGAGTAGCCCGTCGCACTGGCCAGGCGGCGTGCCAGGCGCAGCGGCGGCCGTGCCGCCCACGCGCGCCAAGGCTGCTGCCCCGCGCGCGGCCGCCTCCTTCTGCTGCTGCTGGAGCTCCTCAAGTTCGGCACCGACCTCTGCTGCCCAGCGGACAGCACGTTGCAGATTCTCCTGCGCTTTGTCGAACTTCTTCTGGACTTTGCCGAGCCGATCCGTGAGAACGTCACTCTCCTTCTGTGCTGCCCTTGACACCAGCTGCGGATCGCCCGAGAGGAGACCACGCTGGTGCATGATGCGGTCCCGCGCCGACTGCGTGAGCGTGCTGGCCACGGCCTCATACGCAGCGGGGTCCATGGCGGCATAGGCACGGATCTGCTCGTCGGTGAGGGGCGGAGGTCCCTTCGGCTTGGGCGCACGCACGGACGGGGAGACGCCACTGGCCCAGACCCCGCGAGGCTGGACCTCGCGCTGACTGGGGCCTCCTTTATCCTTGCCGCACCGAAGGCATTGATCACGCCACTCATAGTTATACTTGTACTTGCACTGTTTGTTGGGACAAGACCAACAAGACTGCTGCCAATATACCATCTCGCACCCTCTGAGGGTGCGACACACGCCGTAGGTACACAAAGGCGGTGAGGGATGAGACCTCAATGCAGTCTCGAGGTGTGAGCAGGTGGGGCCGCGGATCCCCTTGCCAAAACAACTCCGGTCCTGAGCAAACCGCTACGGACTTGAGCCAAAATGGCTACGGACCTCCTCCTCCTCCTCCTCCTCCTCCTCCTCCTCCTACTCCTCCTCCTCCTCCTCATCCTCATGCTCCTCATCCTGCTCCTCCTGGTCCGCCTCGTTGCGCGGTGGGTGCCGCGGAGAAAAAAAGACCCCAGTGCGACCCGACCTAGAAGTTGGAGCCCTTAGGAAAGCAGCATTAGTTGCTATGCTATGCTATGCTATGCTATATTATGCCATGCTATGCTGCACTATGCTATGTCATGCTATGCTATGCTGCGCTATGCTATGCTGTGCTATGCTATGATGCGCTATGCTATGTTGCGCTATGCTATGCTACGCTATGCTATACCTTGCTGTGCACTGCTATGCTAAAGCTCAGCGAAGCTAAGATGAAAGTTAGCTAAGATAAGATAAACCTGAGCTAAAATGAAGCTAAGCCAAGCGAATATGCAATAAACTAAGCTAAGATGAGGTACGCAACGCTAAGCTAAGGGGACGCTGGGGGAACCGCGGGGCGGATACTGGGGGAACCGCCCGGGGCGCTTTCCACTGCCCGGCCCCTTTAAGCCCAGAGAGTAAGAACCCTTCTAGGCAGAGCCTAGGTAGGGAAAAACTATGTCCACTACAGTGGAAACCCATGCCAAGAAACACCCACTCGTGCCTACTCGTTCGGCCTGGCGCATGCCTGGATCGTCAAACCTGCCAGCGGCAGCGTCGATGAACACGGGATTGAGACACATGCTCGTGGTTCGTGCACACCCTTGCCCCCAGCGCCCACACCTTCAGCCGCACCCAGGGACGAGATGTACTGCCTGGTGCCACTCGTGGTCAGATGAATCTGCTGAGACGACGCGCGAATCGCGCGGCTCCAGCGCTTACTTTGAGATTACCGACATATACGGATCGGGAGTGGCGGCTGACTCCTGCCGAGTGTTCATAGGCTGCGTAGGAGAACAGTTTGGCGTCGTCGACGGTACTGGGATCTCCTCCTTCATGCGCTCCACCGCTGCTGGATTCGTCGGTGACGGCACGTCACCTGCCCTGCTCACTCAGAGCACCTATGTCTGGCCTGCCCGGCGCATCGCATCCCACCACCAACGACGGCACCGACTTCGGGGTAGCAAAAATTGGACTAGGCGTCCACTGTCCTGGCGGGATGGTCGAGGGCGTTTTCAACGCTGGTACGGAGTGGCCTACTGGGGTCGTTGGCATAGGAAACCCCACCGCTGACGGCGGCTGCGGAGGGAATGCCGGCGACGTCATCGGCGGCAAGGCCTCTCCACCTGATCTCGCACTCGCAGAAGCACTAGCTGTGGAGCCCGTCTGAGCCGCTGGAAACGCCACCGTAGGCGTAGCACACTGCACTGACGCCATCTGCGCCAACATCCCAAGCAACACGTCTGACTGCTACTACCTCTGCACCATCTGGAGCATCATATACTTCATCTCGACGAAACCTTGATTGGCATGCTGCTACTGCTACACCACCTTCGGCGCAGGCCCGCACGGCCCAGCGGCCTGCGGCTGAGCGGCTCCACGAAAAGGCCCCAGCACACCACCAGCAGGCAGTGGCGGCGGCGACGGCGGCCCTCCCATGTCGTCGCCCCCGAGCTGCAACGCATTGATCCTGTTGATGCATTCCTTGCACTGCTCTATCTCCGTCGTGATCTCGCCTTCCTGGGTTCTGAAGTCCTGCATGCGAGCGCATGTACTCGACAGCGTGGCCATTGTCCTCTCCTTTCTGCTCTTCAAATCGGCCAACTGCTGCGCACACGAGATGGTTTTCAAGAGCATGCGTTTCATCCCTGCGAGCTTGCGATCGTGCCTTTCGGCGTCGTCGAACTCTGATGCTTTCTTGGCTGGCATCGCCAACGTCGCAATGTTTACCATACGATACCTCATTTCCAACTTGAGTGCGTGCAGGCTTTGGGGGTCTTCGGGCACATGCATGTCACAATCGTGTGACTGAGCTTGCTCTCTTGTGATCGGCTGTATCCTCGCGATGTCTGCTTTCACCTGCCTGTCCGCCCATGGCTGAGCGGCGTTGACCGTCTCCTCTGTGCGACTTCGACTCCACGAGCGGCGTGGATGGCTGCCCGCTCTGGGGGGCGGCATTCACCCTGCACCAACTGGCTGGGACCTCCATCCACGTCGTTCTGGATCATGGGCTCGTCCGAAGTCAAGATGCGTGGATCCGCACCGGCACATTGAGTGATGCTTCACGTACCGACCGCACGGGCAATTCCATCTGGGGACCCCGTGCTCACGTACCATCCCCAGGACTTGGAAGGTGTTACCTAAACATGTGCTCTGTCTGACCTCGCGGTCACCTGTAACAGAGTGTTGGAAAGGCCATGTGCAACCTCAAAACATGTTTTACTTGAGCCAAAATGGCTACGGACTTCCCTCCTCCTCCTCCTCCTCCTCCTCCTCCTCCTCCTCCTCCTCCTCCTCCTCCTCGTCCCTCCTCCTCCTCCTCCTCCTCCTCCTCCTCCTCGACCCTCCTCCTCCTCCTCCTCCTCCTCCTCCTCCTCCTCCTCCTCCTCCTCCTCCTCCTCCTCCTCGGCCTGGCGGCGGCTGGACGGCGCCTGGCTCGGCTCCGCCGGGCCGGCAGCGCCACCCCCGCTCGGGGCTGGCCCGGTCTGCAGGGGCGGCGCCTGCCGGGGTCAGGGCGGGAGGGAGCAGAGGAGGAGGAGGAGGAGGAGGAGGAGGAGGAGGAGGAGGAGAACGAGGAGGAGGAGGAGGAGGAGGAGGCGGAGGAGGAGGAGGAGAAGGGTGGAGCAGGAGGAGGGGAGGGCGAGGAGAGGATGGAGCAGGAGGAGGATGGGGCAGGAGGAGGAGGGGGCAATGGGGCAGCAGGATGGTAAGGAGGAGGAGGGAGCGTGATGATGATGATGACGACGACGACGACGACGGCGACGACGACGACGACGACGACGACGACGGCGACGACGACGACGATGATGATGATGAGGAGGAGAAGGAGGAGGAAAGGATGAGGATGGATGGGGATGGGGAGGGGATGAGGATGAGGATGAGGATGAGGATGAATGATGATGATGATGATGATGATGATGATGATGATGATGCTGATGATGATGATGATGATGATGATGATGATGATGATGATGATGATGATGATGATGATGATGATGATGATGATGACGAGGAGGAGGAGAAGGAGGAGGAGGAGGAGGAGGAAGAGGAGGCGGAGGGAGAAAGAGGAGATAGGATAAGACAGCGGCCTGAAGCCAGTCGTGGGCCAGCTAGCCCCCCGCCTCGAGGTCTGAGGCGCTGTCGCCTCCTGCCTCTGCGTCGTGGCGGAGGCGGGCTCCAAGCCACAGGGGCGCCTGCCGAGAGAAGCTCGGCCTCGGTCAAACCAGAAGCACCCAGCACGAGGGCCCCCTATAGGGCCTGCGGGCACGGAGGAGAGAGCAGGAGCAGGAGGAGCAACGATGGGGCAGCAGGAGGGCGGTGACCCCCAGGACCGGGCGTTGCCATTCTTTGCAGCGGGCGCCTTCGCCTGCAGTTTCGGGCCCTCGGACCCTCGCAGATCGGTCCGGCTCGAAACACGACTCAGAAAGCTGGGGTCTACCGTCGGGGCGTTGACCTAAGGAACTCCAAACAAGGAACGAGGCCCCTTTCTCCCATAAGTTGGACTTCGATTTCCCATTGGAAACATCAGGAAAACCGAAGGCAAACTGCAGAACAATCAAGGAACACCGAGCCCCTCCCCAACGAAAAGGGTTCCTTTTTCAGGGCCCCGACTGTATGGCTCTGGTCGTGATTGCTGGCGATGCTGCCGTCTCTCCCAGCGCCGGAGCTCCGGGGAGGAGGAAAAGGATGCAGCAGGAGCAGGCGCCGGAGCAGTGTGCGGCTCGCTCCCAACGCCCTGGGTCCACAAGTGTAGGCGGCGCGCCCGGGGGGGAAGTGAGGGGGGGCGGGCCTTCTCAGCAAGCGCGGAGGTCCCCCAGCCTTCCGAGAAATTTGCGGAGCCTTCCCGGAAGACACGGAAAACCTCTCCGAAGGCGCGAGGGCTCCTGAGAAGCCCCGCTGCCTTCCGAGAATCGGGAGCGGACAAGAGGGGGTGTCCAAGAAGGGGGAGTGCAAATCATGACTGGCGGCATGCGCGCGGCCCAGCGGGGGGGCCAGGGACGTAATGAAACATGAAGAGGCGCCATGAAATCTGGGGAAATATCAAAGCCCCCGCCATGATATCCACCCCCCCCTAGTCATCACCCCTCTCTTTGCCGCCCCCGAAAGAAATTGGTATGGCCTTCCCGGAAGACACGGAAAACCTCCGGGAATGCGCGAGGGCTCCTTCTCGCTCCCCCCCCCCTCGCGCGCCGCCTGCCAAGCGCACCGGGCCCTCCAGTGGTGTGCACCTCTCGGCGGCGACGATGGGGGCGAATAGCCCAGGGGCGGGCACCACACGCACTCGCCTGGGCGCCTTGTCGAAGACATCGATCATCCGCGCCCCTGGATACACGTAAAGGGGCCCTGGGACACACAAAGAAGTACACACAAATATAAAAGGATTCCCCATACCTTCCCATACTTTGGGGCTTTCCGTCTTCCCCCCCACTTCCCATCTTCTCCCAAATATTTTCCTGGGGATCGACGACTCCTTGTGTCTGTGTGTTTTGTTTCCCCTCCTGAACACGTCTTGCTCCCCCCCAGGCTATCGTCGCCCCCGAGCCTCCGAGCCTCCGCCCGACCCCGCCCCCCACGATGTTTCGGAGAGGAGGAGGAGGAGGAGGAGGAGGAGGAGGAGGAGGAGGAGGAGATTAGGAGGAGGAGGAGGAGGAGGAGGAGATTAGGAGGAGGAGGAGGAGGAGGAGGTGGAGGAGGAGAGGAGGAGGAGAGAGGAGGAGGAGGAGGAGGAGGTGGAGAAGGAGAGGAGGAGGAGCAGAAGGGTGGAGGAGGAGAGACGAGAGAGAAGAGGAGAACGAGAGAGGAGGAGGAGAGAGGAGACAGAAGAGGAAGGAGAGAGGAGGAGAGGAGGAGAGGAAGAGGAGGAGGAGGAGGAGTGAGAGAGGAGGAGGAGGGGGAGGAGGAGGAGGAGGAAGGAGGAGGAGGAGGCGCTCCTCGCCCCCTCGTCGTCGCCTCGCGAGCCTCTTCGCGGGGGCCCGGCGCTCAATCCCGGGGGCCTCCGCCAGCCTGCCGCGCGGGCGGGCCCGCCCCCGTCGGTGGGCCGCCGCCGGCTGGGCTCGCCGGCCGGCCGCCCGCCGCCGGCGAGGAGAGGCCCACTTTGGCCCCTCGACGGCGAGGCCCTTTTGAAAAAGCAAGGATATGTAAGATGAAAACCATATGTCTACATATAACAGTAATAGCAACCATATCAAATAGTGATGGTAACAGTAATAATCGTAATGGAAGTCAAATGCTTGTGTTTAAATGAAGAGAGTGAGAGATAGAGACAAACGACAAACAACAACAACACCAATACCAACACCAACAACAACAACAACAACAACAACAGCAACAACAATAACAACGACAACAACAACAACAACCACAACAACAACAACAACAGCAGCAGCAACAACAACAACAACCACAATAACCACAACAACAGCAACAACAACAACAACCACAACAACCACAACAACAGCAGCAACAACAACCACAACAACCACAACAACGACCACAACCACACCAACAACAACAACAATCATAACAACAACAACAACAACAACAACAACAACAACAACAACAACAACAACAACAGCAAGAGCAGCAACAACAACAACAACAACAAACAACGGGGCGAGGCCTTTGTCTGGAGCGCCCTAACAGTGAGCGTTTTCGTATTCGGCGTCTCGACAGTGGGCGGAAGGGGGGGGGGGAGGAATGGGGCAGGGTCTGGCTCTGGACCACCGCTCACTGCGACTGTTTGCAGCACCCCTGGGTAACGCATTCTCTTCTTGGTCCGAATGGGGGCTTCATGCTCCCGAGGTGAGACGAAGCCAGAACGAGGGCAACTTCGGAGGATAGTAAATCGAGAATTTCTGAGATGCGAGCGTTTTCTTATTCGGCGTTTCGACATTGGGCGGAAGGGGGAGAGGGGGGAGGGTCTGGCTCCGGACCACTGCTCACTGCGACTGTTTGCAGCAGTGCGTCCTATGGGGGATGCTCCACCTGCTCGAAGCAGGCGCCCAAAACAGCCAAGATCTACTCCATGTGGGGGGGGGAAGCGAGGCCCCGCGCTGATCGGCAAAACAATGAACAAAAAACAGTCACGATTCGGGGCCTTTGCAGGACGTCTCGGGCGCCGCGGCCCTCTCAGAGCGTTCCAGAACGCTCAGAGCTCTCCTCGTCCTATAGCCCGGTCCGACTAAGGGTGGGGCAAGGAAGCGGGGGGGTGCGAGGGCCCGCGCCGATCGGCAAAACAACGAGAAACAAAAACTATCATATAGTCAGGTGGAGGACAACGAGAGCCGAGACGACGATCAAAGAGACGTCCAGGACGACGACTACGACAACGTCGAAGCCTCCAGGGGAAGATCGGGCCCTTCGAGGAGAAGCATCAGTCGCCGTTTCGCTGGGTCTCTGCAGCATGCCAACGCTCATTCTACGAGTTCTGACTACGCCGAGCAGCACCAGTAGGATGATGATGTGCACAATGATGCGACTAGTCGACGAAAACGAAGGTTCGGAAAATGACGACGAGTAGGACGAGAATGACAGATATGGGGCGGGCAGGAGGACACGGTATTCGTGCTATGAAAACGTGAACTTACTTAACTGGTGGCTCCAGCTTTGCTCTGCAGGGGGGGGGTCGTGGATCCCGCGTCGGCGATGGGGGGCTCGTGTAGAGCGCGCATCGTCTGCCCGCGTCATCCTTGCGCAGGGGCCATGCTGGTCTTACCTGCACCGCTCCAAGGTTAGCGGAGGGCCCCCGAGTGGCGCACGGGGACGGGCCAGAGAGTGCAGGGCACGGGGAAGGAGGAAAGGGGAGTACCGATCGCTCGCTCCTGGCTTTCGGGTCACCCCTCGGGCCTCCGGCGGCCCTCCGCAGGACGATCCGGGCACCCCCGGAACGCCCTCGGTGAAACGCAGCGGCCGAGGCGGAGCCCGAGGCGGGAAACCGACGAGGACCGACCCCTCGCCGCCGCAGGCGGGTCCATCCACGCGCGGCGGCGCCGGCGCCGCCGGGGGGCGGGGGGAGTGCAGGTCAGAAGCGCGGCGTCCGCACGCCGGTGCCCCCGCCACCCACGCACGCTGGGCCCTCCAGCCGCTAACCCCAACCTGCTCGCGAAGGAATGACTCGGAGGCGGTCGTGGACTGCTCTGGGGCGGCGTGGACCGAGCGGAGCGTCAGGGAAGGCTGGCACCTCCCCTCCCCTTCCTCCCCAGCGAGAAGGACAAGGATCGTGTCGGGAGGAAGGGGCTGGGAAGGTACAGGGTAGGACTGTGTGAGAAGCCCAGAAAACGTCTTTCTGGTTCCTCCTCCTCCTCCTCCTCCTCCTCCTCCTCCTCCTCCTCCTCCTCCTCCTCCTCCTCCTCCTCCTGTTGAACCAGTTGAAGGCTGCATAGGACTCCCGCACAGTCGCAAGAGGCCTAGCAAAAAATATGACAAGAGAAGACATTACCTCCCTCGGGGCACCTGGACGCTTCGTCCGAACACCGCACGGGAGCTGGGGTCCTTGCCTGCA